TGGATTTTTTTTCTTCTCCCAACCGATGTGAGACTTTTTGTTTGCTCCCAACAACAATGTCTATTTTTACACAAGAAAGTTTAGGAAAAATATTTCTGAAATTGATCTCATGTTTTTGTAAACTAGATAATATGGTCAAGGCACGATGTGATTATAAGGGGGCTAATATGCTGGGCAGCTCTGATCTAAGACAATCCAACACATTTTACCACTTGTACATGCATCTCAAGCAAAGCTACAAGACATGTTGATGCTTCATTGTCTAGCATAATCAGAAAGTTTTAAGGCAAAAACAAATATATTGCACTGTTACATAACTGTTCTTTTCACACCAGAAATAATAAGGAAACACGCATAAGATGCACAAATCCACAATCTCAATTACATTTTCCTTCTGCAGATTCATTCGAACAAGAAAACTTGATTTAAATATGATCAAGTTAAAGTGTTATCGGTTACAACAGATCCGAAAGTAAATTTGGTTCAACAACAAAATCAGAGCTGCTGTCCCGGTCAAGTAAAACAACATAGAAACAATAATTCTTAACTCAACTAATACATGCAAGTCGACAAACCTAAACTTTGTAACAAAAATGTGACATTAGATAATAACGTCAAAATAGGCCATGAATTACGATGGTAAAAGATGGAAAATCAGTCTGTCCTGTCTTCACCATACTTGTCAATCCAACTATTGGCAAAGCTGCTCAACCGCAGCAACAATCTGTGCAGGCTGGACAACGGTCCATTCCTCCAGTGATGCAGCATATGGAGTCGGCACGTCCTGTGACGACAAACATACAATTGGGGCATCCAAATAATCGTGGAAATTTTCATTAATCGAAGCCGTCAAGCTGGCACCAATTCCACCTGTGCGCATGCACTCCTCTACAATTATCACACGATGAGTCTTCTTCACTGAATTCCCAATGGTGTAAAGATCAAATGGCTTCAATGATCTGATATCAATGACTTCAGGATCGTATCCTTTGTTGACCAAAGTTTTTGCAGCCTGCATCACGTGGTACCTCATTCTGGAGTAAGTTAAAATAGTGACGTGCTCACCTGGCCTAACCATCTCAGCTTCCTCAAGATTCAATACGTACTCTTCATCTGGAATCCTCTCTTTGAGGTTGTAAAGCAAAACGTGCTCAAAAAGAATCACGGGGTTATCGCTCCTGATAGCGGCCTTCATCAAACCTTTGGCATTGTATGGAGTTGAGCATGCCACCATTTGAATTCCAGGTATCGACTGGAAATACGACTCGAGGCGTTGTGAGTGCTCTGCTCCAAGCTGCCGACCCACTCCACCAGGTCCACGGATGACAACTGGTATCTTAAACTGACCACCTGATGTGTAGTGGAGCATACCACAGTTGTTAGAGATTTGGTTGAAAGCCAGAAGCAGAAATCCCATGTTCATTCCCTCGACAACGGGACGCAAACCAGTCATGGCAGCTCCGATGGCCATGCCGGTGAAGGAGTTTTCAGCAATGGGAGTGTCAAGGACCCTGAGATCACCGTACTTATCTGCAAACCCTTTGGTCACCTTGTATGAACCTCCATAATGACCCACATCTTCACCCATAACACAGACGTGGGGATCTCTGTCCATTTCTTCTTCAAGGCCTTCACGGAGAGCTTCAAAAAGCAAAAGCTCATGCCTAATGACAGAAATCAAACATCACTAATTTTACTGTAGGATAACAATGTAGGTTCTGATGAGTATTATATGCAGAAAGGTATTGAATATGATTTGGTATATGGTCAATCTAAGAGAAGTAGAGAACACATGTTAAATAAATATTATACAATGGCTGACAAATAACTTGTTAATTTGAAGTGATATAGAAAGTGCTCTACAACGAACTCAACTAGATAAATCAACCTAAAAGGTTACTATGAAACAGCCCAACCAATCGTGCTTCTAACATAACACTGAAGAAGGCAGATAGCAAATAAACAGACTCTGTCTACGTTCCTCGTCTAAGAAAGAAAGAAACTTTGGCAAAGTTTTCAACTTCAATCTCTTCCATAAGGAAAAATAAATAGCAATTTCCTAATGTTAGCTAAAGTGACATGGGATTAATTTAGCAAAAACCAATTTCAACTATCAACAATTGCATATACATATAAATTGGGAGGAGAAGCATACCCAGGCTTGGATACAGTTGAAGCTGCTGCACTATCTGGCTTTGTCTGCAATAAAAATTACAAACTTTTACCAAGAGATGATCTTAAGAAACGATATTACACAATTGATTATCAAAAAAGATCTTGACACGATAGAAGTATAAAACGTGTCGACACGTGCACGGAAGAAGAGATCAGAAACTAACTGCTACTGCATTAGTAACCAATTGTCTAGTTCTGTTGTTATGCCGATTCAAACTGGATCTCGGATTTCCATTGGATTCAACCGCAAAGAAGCTTCCTTTCCTCCCTGAAACAAACATAAGAACAAATTATACATCAAAACCAAACAATTAGCGTACTTCGTGTCATCGGTACACCATGAAAGACACCTATTACAACTTCCACAAGACTGGACCATTGGGAAGTAAATTTTAATCGAATTAAACAAGAAAAACCCGGAATTTCACAACACAAACAATGAAGAATATCCATTTGAACAAATCTACAAAACCAATTTCGAACTTTGAGATTACAGAATTCGAAATTTGATGCTGAAACTAATAACTAATTAAAACACCTCACGTGAACAGATCGAAGAGGAAAAGAAGGGGGGGGGGGGGGGG